GGCACTTGAGGGGATTTGAATGGTAATTCATGGGAAGTGAAGGATGTGGCTCCCTCAGCCCTCTCTGCTTAATAAAACCACCCTAATATTTCTGCTGGGCACCGGGTTACCTTGTTGGTCCAGAGCGCTGTGGGGAGCCTGTGTTCTCCCAGGTTCCGTTGGAGAGTGGGGCTTAAGACCATCTGGCTGGGGGTGAAATCCAGAGAGATTTCAACCATCTCACCTACCTTCTCTCACCAGGCCCTTTCCCCCTCTAGGAGGAACATATATCTCTTCTCTGAATGTCAGGAAACAGCCTTTCCCTCTCCATGGCTTGTAAAAACATCCTCTAGTCTCTGAGGCCTCCAAACTTTGGTTCTTAGAACCCAAAACTTCTTTCTCTTTCTCTTTCATAAAAACCTACCTGCTCTGCCTTGGTTTGCAACATTTCACAGCTGAAGTGGCATTATTTTGGAACTTAAAAGCCAAACATTACTGCTTTGTTCATGTCCAGGTTCTATACTCCCCCTCAAGGGAGACCATAGTTTTTTGGGTTGTGGGCCCCAGCATTGAATGGTGTTTCAAAATATCATCCTGCTATATATGTAATTTGGGTCAGCCAGTCTGAGCTCTGGCTGGCATGAATTTATCAAGTGCCTGTTGCTGCTAGGAATTGTGCTCAGTGTTGGGGCCGTGCAGATGTGTATGGAATCCAGGTACGTATGTCACTTGAGGTGGGGAACTCTTGGGTCTTTCCACTTGGTGGTCTCCAGAGAGATATTGTATCTGGGGCTTATTTGCTGATGGAGTATAATATGAGTGCCAGTCTCGCTTTTGCTCTCAGAGTATCTAAGTGTGCAGGCTGGCTGTTGTCCCTTGCCTCGAATGATGAGGAATGTGTCTTTTCCCTGATATATTCAGTAAGTGCATGCAGTGTGCACATGTATGCACACCCAGGTGATTGGCTTGGATAAGTGCATGCCTGTATTTAGTATTTGTTTTGGTCATTGCTGGTGGCTTATATAATAATACGAAGAAAAAATAGAGTTAGCCTCTTAGTGTGATAGTCCCGAAATATCTTAACAACCCTCGGCAGTGTCATGGGTTATACAGGTGGCACTCTGGGGTCTGGACTGTGGTGTCTTGTTCTAGATTCACCATTTGTTTGGGGGTCAGGCCATTGTGACTTCTTGAAACCATTTCCACTCTTCAAAAAGGGGATCTGGGCACAGTGGCACATACCTGTAACTCTAGCTGCTCAGGAGGCTGAGGCAAGAGCATTACAAGTTGAAGGCCACCCTCAGCAACATAGGGAGACCCTGTTCTAAAAAAAAAAAAGGATTGGGAATGTAGCTGAGTGGTAGAGCACCCCTAGGTTGAATCCTCAGGGTCTCCCAAAATTTAAAAAATAAAGGGGGTAGGTTCATGGAAGACTGCCAAATTCCCTTCTAGCATTAACATTCCGTGTTCAAGGAAAAGCTTCTTGAGACTACCATGTGGTTTGGAACCTGACTAGTGTGTTAAAAACTGGTAGATGGAGAAATGCTAAAAGAATACTAACCATTTTTTATATGCCACATTAAAATAGTTGTACATTAATAAAACTGACTTTACTCGGGGCTCAAATCGCCTTGGGTTTTCAACGTCTTACCTCTACCCACCCAGATAAATACTGTGTAGCCAAACACAAATGAAAAGTTTTATGTTGGAAACCCTCAGTTCCCCAATGTTTTGACATTGTTGAATGTTATTCTGTTTGAATTCAAAATAATGAACTAAGCCCTAGTATTTAAATCCTCCTATGCCCAAACTCTCATCGTCAAGACAGAAGAAATATACAGACTTAGGCTAGGATGAGGTCTCTCATGAAAGGAGCAATCCAAATGCTAGAAACATCAAAGAGGTCCTAGAAGTTAAGAGGCTGCCCTGCCTGTAGGTTGCCACATGGGTGGGAGCAGCCTCCTGGAGAGGAACAAGAGCCCTTCCCCACCACCTTTCCTTTCCCCTCCCCACCACCTTTCCTTTCCCCTTCCGTTGAAGTTCCTCAACATTTCCAAGCTCTGGGAAAAGAACATGGAGGAAGGGGAGGGCCATTACACTGGTGATCCTCAACTGCCCCAGGACATTGGAAAGATCTGGAAAGTTTGAAAACATACTGCTATTCCAGTTCCATCGCCAGAGAATCTGATTTAGTTGATATGGTGTTCACCCCTTCAGAGGCCTGTTTAATATGCTACCTAGTTGAGAACTATTGCCTTCGAAAGGCGGTGGGGAGCCTCCTAAATGTCCCGTGGGGAACTTCACCAATTAGAGCCCCTTGGGTGAATCTGGTCTTGTGTACTCCCTCTCAAGTAGACATGGCCAGAGTGTTGATAAGGTTGTAGGCAGTTGGTGGAACTTGAGGACTTCCCTGTCAGTCATGAAAATGGGTGAAATGGACACTACTCAGTGAATTTCATGCCACTGAAACCAACATAAAATCCTTGTCACAGCAGGAAAACTCCCCTCCTGGACCCTCCCTGGACCCTTCCCTTCCTCTCCCCACAATGCTGCTGACCCCTGTCCTTCCCCAGGACAAAGAGACTTCTCATTTGTTAAACCACAAAAATACCCCAATTTCCCCTCTCCTTCTCTCTTTCTCTCTCTCTTTACTTGGATTGGTGAGGAAGGCCCATAATCTCTTGCAGAATTTGTTTCAGTTCTTGTTCGAAGTCTAAGGAGAAAAAGGGTTTCATAATAATAGAAAAAAGGAAATAAAAATGTAAAGCATAAAATAGGAGAGCTGAAATAAGAAAAATATATCAGATATTTCAGTTCTGGGAAAGGATTAAACCTTCTTCTTGAAGGATGTTACTCTGGACTGTCACCCTCCTCTTCCTTTTCAGGTCTCTTTTTGCCTATGTTGTGACTTAGAGGAGCATCAACATAGCCAGGCAGCTGCTGGTGGCGGGAGGCTTCCCTGACCTCCTCTTAGTTGCCTGGGTCCATCAATATGATGGTTTCCACGTAGACAGGTGTGAGCTTCTCTGAGATGGCCCTATCTTCAAAGACAATCATGTCTCACTTTGACCTCAACTTTGGCTTCCATGTCCCCAATCTCCTCCACGTGAGGCACCATCTCTCTTGGCCAGAGGCCCTCGGCTCCTGCCTGTGGCTCACTTTCCACTCCTTCACAGGTAATGGTGGCATTTCCTGAGATCTTTGGAGGCTACAGAGAACTGCTGTGGGGTGATGCCATCTCCTCCCATGACACACTAAGTCATTACCCTAAACCAAAATACAAAGCATCTCTATTCGGTTTGAGGCATTTTTTTTCCCTAAGCTTCAAAATGTAAATATTTTAGAAAATGGAAAAAGAAGAAATACTTAATTATTTAAAAAAATTTGTAGTTGAGATGGACAGAATTAGGATTTATTTTGTTTATTTTTATGTGGTGCTAAGGATTGAACCCAGTGCCTCATGCATGCTAGGCAAGCACTCTGCCACTGAGCTACAGCCAAAGCCCTGAAATACCTAATTTTTAAAAATAAAGCTAAAAATCACTATGGAACCAATGCCTGACCAAAATACAAAAGCAAAATCATTTCACTTTTAAATACAGATACAAAAATCTTAAAATAGTAACAGGTTTAATCTAGTCATAGGATAAAAAGCGTAGTATATGAACCAGTGTGAGTTATTTCAAGTGATCAGACATTTTAAAAATCTCCTAAAATTAATACTCAAAAGTATGTTTGAACAGTCAAACTTAAAATGAGATTTTTGTGGGAAAAACTTGATACATTGATACTGAAGTTAATGCTTTTTCTGTTTTAAATTTCTGGATGCCTGTCAAAACAATAGAAACTCTATTCCTTGTCCCATCACCAGCACAAACAGCAAAAATGAAACAAACAAAAAATAGTTGATAAGCTGGGAATATGGATCAATATTTGTATTCTAATGGGCTCCGAAATTTTTTTAGAAAGTAATGATTGAATAATAAATTGATAGCAAATATCAAATATCTTAGAAAAATTAATGTTCTATGATCATCAAATCCCTTTCTAGGAATTTATCCTCAGGAAAATTATGCTTGTTTGTATGTATATGTGTACATATAGGTTTACACTATTTTGCAAAGAGTTAACTATGAAAGCCAAAAGAGAATGAGAGAGAAGGAAGGAAGGAATGATGAAAGGAAGAGAGAGAAAGGAAAAGAAAGGAAATAAAACCAAGAAAGGATCTCAAATATCCAACAATAGAGTTACATTAGTAAAGTTGACAGTTGGTCAGTAACTAAAAGTAACCCAGAAACACCTTACAATAGTTGTGTACAAGAAGATTCTTGAATGAAAACAACTATATGTTAATGTACATGTATAAATACATTCATGATGACACCTGGAATCTGAAAGCTTAACATTGCTTATCTCTAGGTTTGTGGGTTACAGTTCTTCTTTAATGATTACCAATTTTTCCTTTTAGAAAAAAAAAAAAAACTGTTTTAAAATAGTCTGAGAACTCCAGGCTCTGTATGGTAACCTTGAGATGTAAGGCTCAACCTGTGAATATTCTGCCCATTCCCGCCCTGGCTCCTGGCTATACCAGCTCTAGAAAGTTGTCTCTGACCACCTAGGCATCTCTGCTCCTCTCTTTAACTTTCTCAACTTTGTCCTTTAACTGTTTCTATGTACCATCCAGTCTCCACAAAGAGGCTGTAAGCTCCCCATGGGGAGGGGTTGGCCTTGTCATTCTCCTGCCCCTCCCTTAGGGCTCCAGGCGGAGCTGAGTGGCAGCTCTGAGGAGATGGGCTTGGCATGTATCCTCTATCTGGGAGGACAAAGGAGACAGACACTGTGGCCCAGAGGTGTGCTCAGGCAGCTGGAGAATGAGGCAGAGACCATGCTGCAGCACCCATGGACAGCAGGAAAGGAAGCCAAGGCCCACTGTGCTCTCCAGAGGTGTCCACATTTTCCAGTTTCCCATGGGTGATTGGTCATGTTAACCTGTATTTTTTGTCTCCATATCATGCGGACAGGTTCTAACGTTCCCATGGACCAGCCCTGCTGTCGTGGTCTCTATGACTTTGAGCCAGAAAACCAAGGAGAATTAGGATTTAAAGAAGGGGACATCATTACATTAACCAATCAAATAGATGAAAACTGGTATGAAGGAATGATACGTGGGGAGTCCGGATTCTTCCCCATTAATTATGTCGAAGTCATTGTGCCTTTACCTCAGTAAATGTGTTACTCAAACTCTGGACATACTTTCACAACTGAAATGAATTCACACCAATGTTCTCGCAGTGTGGTGTTCTGTGACATCCTTGCTCTCTGACCAACTTAATGACTTTTGTATGTGTGTTCTCTTTATAATGTATTTTGTATCAATTTAATCTGTATAAATGATTTTCTTGACTGAGCTACATGAAAATAGTTTTCTTCTTTGTTTACAGTTCTAAAAAGTCATTGGTTAAATGTGTGTGCTTCCTGTTGCTGAAAAAATAAATTTCACCCATTGCAGATATGTCAACAAGTTGCCTATATATTCCTCAACTGCAATGGAAATGCGACATTTGAAACTAAGAACTGCTAAATATTTTGTTTCTTGACATTACTGATGGCATCTGGTCTTTCCCCCTTCATCACGTTTTAAGCTTACCTATGACTCTCCCAATAAACATGACATACTGTGTTGGCAAAAGGCCTCAGTTATTTTTAATGTTGAATTAATTTTTAAGCACACTACTCCAGCTGCAAAATCCTTCTGTGCCCATTGGTTGACCATCGGTCACAGTGTGGATGTTTAGGTAATTGCTTCTGACCAACATCAGTAAGGTTGAGAGTGATTCTGCACTTTCCACTGACTCAAACATGGTGTATCCTCCTTCCAATTGGGGGATGGAAACTCCTTCTACCTTCTTTAAAGTGTATTTATAAAAAAGCCTAACTCAAGCTTTGTTTGTTAAGCTTTGTCAAATATTGGGTAGGTTTTCTAAGTATGTCCTCAAGAGGTATCATGGGCAGGAGTTGGGTTGAGTGTTCAATCACATGACCACCTAGGTTCAGTGAGCAGCCCTTGGCCTTGCCCAGGGTATGAGCTTGTCATGTGCTTTGACCTGATGAGTCAAAGGGGGCAGGTATATTCCCCTTTTAACAGAGAAGGTGATTTAGTGAATGACTTTCCCAGAATCAAACAACCAAGTAGTGGCTGAGACAGAGCATAGGCTCAGATTGTTTGATATGCCTCATAACACACTTAAGTGTGCATCCAAGTCACTTGGAAGTGTACCCTTCCTGTTCATTGGTATTTGAAACAAATGCCAAGAGGCCAGATCAGTCATGTAAGCCAGGTTTCCCAGTCTGAGTTCATGGTACATCACTAATTCATGACAGCAAGCTTTCCTACCAGCCAGTGACACCCTCCACCACACACACCCCTTATACAAAACACTTGTACATTTAGCATCTATGACTTATCATGAATTGAGTGCTTACTATGTGCCATGTGCTTTTCTAAGCATTCCATATGAATTTTATCCTCATAAACCACTTTGCCATTTTGTCCTCATAAATCACCCTCTGAGGTAGACCTGATGCCCATTTTTTTCAGATAAGAAACTGAGATGATGAAAAGGTAAGTAACTTGTCCACAGTCACACAATTAAATGGCAGAGCTGGGTTTTATCCTCAGAAGTCTGTCTCTCCCATACCCATGATCTTTCCCCCACATCCTACCTCTTATCATATGGGTTTGTGCACATAAATTCACAATTTATATATTTTTTGTAGCCTTTTTAAAAAATCCATCAGCTTCTTTAGCTGCCACATTAGAAACTACCAAAGGGAATGAGAAATCCAGGGCCATTCTCCATGGCCATACTATACTTTGATAACCTGTTTGTGAAGTAAATAGTAACTGAAGCTAATTGAGAGCTATAGATTAACTTCCAGGAATGACAAGTCAGCAATTTACACTAGATCATTTTAAAGCTATTAAAATAGCACTTGCATCAGTTGACAGGTATCTGTGGAAGAGGAGAGGCAATGATCATGAGCTGCCAATGAGTTGGAAGTACTAGCTGTTGTGTCTTTCCCTGGCTTTTAGCCTCAGCTAGTATGCAAGATCCCATCTCCAGGAGACATCCATAGGCAGGGCCAGCAGTTAGTACCTTTAGCCTAGCTCCTGGCACTGGGTTTACACAACTCTGCTTCAGACCAGTTGTTAGAAAATTGCATCTTGGGCTCCAGCCTTAAGGTTTTCACAGATTTACATTCAGAAGTTCCCTGTACAACTCCCTTCACTTCTTTTTTTCATTTTTAAGAGTCATGCACATTTTATCTTTTACTGTAAAATATATCCAGGACTTTTTAGGTGTCAAAGTAATTTCAAAATTCAAATGGCTTTATTTTTCTAATTATAAATGTAGTACAGTTGTGTTGCAGAAAAAATTCAGAAGTATACAAAGTTATAAGAAGAAATTGAAGATCGACTTTTATTCCATAACCTCAAATCATTACATTTCTAACATTCTCATTATATCCTTCCAGTTTTGCCCAAGCACACATAAATGGGAGTACATATCATGTTCTCAGCTTTCCATATTAATAATTGTAGAACCTAATTCTTATGGTTTATTGGAATGTGGTAATTTATTGTAAGGCTGTGTAACTTCTATAATTAATCTACTATTATTCAGTTCCAGTTTTCCAACATTATACACAAACCTGTATCATATTTTCTTATGATATATTTCTTAGTTTTTTTGGCCCATAAAATGGGCTCAAAGGACAAACAGTGAACTCAGACATATTTAAATTTGGCCTATTAATTAAAATTCTCATTATAGTATTTGCACTTCCTGAAGATTGTACTTTTAAATATCACTTATATTTCCATAGTGTTTTCCATAATGCCTATACCAATGTATATTCCTACCAAGATTGTCCAAGTTTCCTTTTCTCCAAATCCTCACCAACATTTGTTATCTCTTGTCTTTTTTGATAATAATCATCCTAAGAGGTGTGAGGTGATACAGTAGTGCGTTTTGATCTTCAGGGGATGCATTCTGAGACATATAGTGGATGCCTAAAACCACAGATAGTACTCAATCCTACATTTCTCTCTCTCTCTCTCTCTGTGTGTGTGTATGTGTGTGTGCATGTGAATTTCATGCCTTCTCCATATTAAATAAAATTCGCTTATCATACACTATGGCCATAAGTTTTGCAGTTTGAGATGCGGCAATTAAACTAGCACAACTTTCTTTTTTTTCCTTCACAATGTCACAGATTTGTTTCTAATACAGATCTTAGCAACTTCAGCACACAATTTTTTCCCCTTTGCTTATGGAGTTGAGAACTTTCACTTTTCATATAAGGAAGCACTTACACCTTTTCTTTGGCATATCTGAATTGTCAGCCTCACTACTCTTGCACTTTGAGGCCATTTTAAATAAAATAAGGGTTATGTGAACACAAGCACTGCAACACAGCAATGGGAGATCTGAAAACTGAGATGGCTACTAAGTGACTAATGGGCAAGTAGTGTATACAGCATGGATACACTGGACAAAGAAATGATTCAATATTCTGGGCATGATGAAGACAGCACAAGATTTCATCCTGCTACTCAGCATGGTGTGTGATTTAAAACATATTTTTTGAATTTTCCACATAATATTTTCAGTGTATAGGTCACTATGGGTTACTGAAACTGGAAAGCAAAACCACAGATAAGGGAACACTACTGAATCCCATTGTGGTTTTAATTTTCATTTCCCTGATGTTGAGAACCTCTTTGCACGTTTTAAAATCAGATTTTATTTTTTGCTATTGAGTTGTATGAATTCCTTAGGTATTTTAAATATTAACCCCTTAGAAGACATATAGTTTGCAAATATTTTCTACCAATCCATGATTGCTTTTCATTTTGTCGATTATTTCCTTTACTATATAGAAGAACTTTAGATTGATATAATCATACTTGTTAATTATTGCCTTTGTTGCCTAGGTCTTTGATGTCATATCCAAAATTATTGCTAATATCAATGTCAAAACACTTCTCCCTGAGGGGTTTCTTTTCTTTTTAGGGTTTGCATTGTTTCAGGTGTTATATTGAAGTCTTTAATCCATTTTAGTTGATTTTTTGAGTATGTAACCTATTTGGAAGTCAGGAAGTGTGATGGTATGGGGTTATGCTGTTTGCATGTGTGTAGGCAGATGGGAACTGAACTAGAGATGTGCATGTACATACAGCTGACAATAATGCTGAAGCTCATCTTCAGGTGTTAGCTTTGGGTACAGGTGGCGGTAGAGTCCTTAGAGCTGTTTGTGAGCATATGTGTAGTGGCTGTGCTATGTTCCTGAGTCAAAACACGTGCAGAAGCAGCATCTGGGTAGCTCTGGGAAGCAGGGGTGGAAGCTTAAGCACCTGGAGATTGCAAATGCCACTAGGGTGGGACTCTGGGCTGGGGAGACTGTGGTAGTATCAGTGCAAAAGACTTTCAGGGAGAGGAGGCAGAGAAGGGTTGCAGGCCAACACATAGACTTCCAAGGCTGCTGCCCTGGGTCTTCAGGATGGTGCATCCATAGCAGCAACAGTCTTGTGGTTCTGGGTGGCAGGACCAACTCAGGCAACTTTAGGAGGAATGGAAGCAGAAGGATATAGGTTGTGTTATAAGAAGGCTGGTGGGCTAGATCCTCCAGCCTAAGCAACAGCAGCAGCATATGGTGGATCACATTTATTGATTTGTGTATGTTGGAATCAAGTAAATCCCACTTGATCCTGGTATATGATGCTTTTAATGTGCTATTAAATTCAGTTATCCAGGATTTTTGTTGAGAACTTCTACATTTATGTACATTAAGGATGTTGCCCTGTAGTTTTGTTTTCTTGCAGTATCCTTGTCTGGCTTTTGATATTACAGTAATTCTAGCCTTGTAGAATAAATTTGGAAATATTATCTCATCTTCAATGTTGGAGGGAAGGATTTGAGAAGGATTGGAATGATTCTTTTTTAAGAGTTTGGTGAGAGTCAGCTATCTGGTCCTGGGCTTTTCTTTTATGGGAGATTTTTTAAATTACTGATTGAAATTCTTCACTCTTGATCTGTTTAGATTTTCCTTTTTTTCATGATTCAGTCTTGGTAGGAGTATGTTTCTAGTTTATCTATTTGTTCTAAGTTATCCAGTTTGTTGGAATATAATTGTGATCTCTTATGATCTTTTCTGTTTCTTTTGTATTAATGATGGTGTCATATTTCTTTGATTCTTCAGGTTCCTGTAAGCTTTGTGTGGCTATCTTCACATTTGTAAAAGCAGTCACTTCTTATAATCCTTACTGAAGGACTTTGGCAGAGAAAGACCTTAACTAGTGAGCCCAGCTACAGATTTTAGAACTTTCAGATTTTACATCTCTCAGAACTTTTCTCTGGATGTTTCCACTCCAATCCTCCTGTGTCTTTTTATGGGTCAAATGTTAGGCTTGTGTGCTTTCTCTTTATTCTAAAATGCAAGACTTGGTGTTGACAGAAGCCTCCTATTTATCTTCCGTAGATAGTCCTCTGAAATGTTCAAGGTTGTGTACTTTCTTCCAAGTCATCAGAGTCAAGCCAGCTGCTAAGATCTGTACGTGCTGTTGAGATCTTTGTGCTGTCTGTAGGAGCTCATAGGGCCTCCACAAGGAGGCACACAGGGTTCTCA